ATCTTTCATTTTTATTTTTTAAGACTTTATTTATTTATTTTTAGAGAGAGGAGAAGCGAGGGGCAGAGAGAGAGAGAGAGAGAGAGAAACATTGATGTGCCTCCAGCATGCACCCTGACTGGGGAGCAAACTTGCAACCCAGGCATGTGTCCTGACCGGGAATCGAACCAGTGACCTTTTGCTTTTTGGGATGATGCCCAAACAACTGAGCCACACAAGTCAGGACATCATCTTTCATTTTTAAAATTGTCCCATGATTCTGATATGCAGCCTGGTTGTGAGCCCTGAGCCATGTGCTCTGAGGCCCATTTGGCTTCTGTGCATCTATAATCCCAATACTAAAGGCAAGTCCCCTTTCACAGGTAGAGGCTTGCCTAGGAGCAGGCTAATCAGGAGATTCGGCACTGGTGGGACAGGGATGGGGGGAGCAGGTGACACAGCAGGCGAGCACCTGGCTCAGTCTGAACTCATCAGCAGACACCCCGAGGGAAAAACTGAAAAGAGCAAGCGAAAAGAGCTTTAAAACAATTAAGGCTTTTCATCAGGAAGAGTTTAAGATAAATAGGTTTCTTCTCTGCAAGAGTTCTCAAAATAACATTAGTAATAATAACGGCATGAACCTCAGAGGCTGAGAGGATTAAATGAGATAAGGGATGTATGAAACAATCAGCTCCCCTTGCACCTAATGGATACTTAATAAATGCTACCTGTGAGTGTCATTAATAAGGCTGGTGGCTCTCCAAGGGAAGGAGAGAGAGTGCAGGGTCTCCCAGACTTCTGGCGCCCTTTTCCTACAGAGCCTCTTGTAGAATTCATGCTCTGGGGAGCACTCTGGAAAAAATCGCAGAGGGAATGGCTGCATGCTTTCCGGCTCCCTTGTCAAGTGACTGATAGAGGACTTAAGGCCAGGATGAAAGCCACAGCTACCGGTCACCATGGGGGTGGTGTCCCTGCGGAAGGGGCATGTGTCTGCAATCCAGAAGAGCTGATTCAACTTCTTGAGTTTCCTTCTCTTCAGCTGTGTGACCTTGGGTAAGGGATCAGGCCTCCCTGAGTCTGGTGTCCTTACTGGCATAAGCATGGGATGCAGGCCAGAAACCTGAGAATTTCTAAGGTCCCTCCTGGCTCCTGGATTCTATGTTTACATGCATTTCTGCCAAAATGGGGAAGGGAAGAGAAAAAAAAAAGAATGATATTTAAGCCATGGTGTCTTCTAACCATGATCCCTCATTCTAAACTTGTTTGGGATGGTTTCCTGAGAGAGGCTAACACCTGTGTACCCTCTTAGCCAACATAGTCCCTGTGGACGCTAATTGAGAAAAATGATGAAGTTCAAACTAGACTCCTACCTGTCAAGGGGTGGGAGAGAGAAGTGAAGAAAGGTTCTCACACTAACCCCTCTGTATCTGAAGAGACCATCAAATCCACTGGTGGCCCATTTTTTTTTTTTAATGTCTAATGACTATATTCCATATTTTCCAAACTGAACATCAGGACCCATGATGTCATAAAGGATTCTTCAGGCCACGAGGCACAAGACGTCGTCTCAGAGACAGGATATGGAAGCTGACATCTCAATCTTTGGTAAAATGCAGATGGCTTGTGAGTGACAAGGGACAAAACAGCTGAAAACAGGAGTGATCCAGGGAGCCCAGGTAATGTGATCGTGACGCTAGGGACCCTTTCTCCCTCTGCACACTGGTTCACTCTCCACAACAGGAGCGCTGCTCTCTTCACAGCGATAGAAAGGGTGAACCTCATTCTTGGGGTGCCCGTGGGGACAACAAAAACCCCACTGGCTGGTTGGATTGGCATTCACTATTCCCAGCCAGGTCTAACCCTCCTGCCTGGCTGTCCTGCTTTCCTCTAAGCCTCATGGTGAGCCTTCCTTCCACGGAACCGATTGCAGGGCAACCATTTCCCCCGTCTCATTGATGAAGCCACCAAGAGACACACTGACCTACTTGGGACTGTGCATTCACCTCGGCGCCCCTCGGCTGTGAACTTCTCACCGAGAGAGTGACCCATGAGCAGCACCTTCCCGTGTTCCATGCTGAGCACCAGCCTGGCCCTTTGTCCAGCTCCTGCTCTTAATTTCCTGCTGTCTATTGTCTCTCTGGTAACTGCTGGAAGAGGGAAGGGTATTATTTAATTGCTTTAAAGATATCAAACACGCCAGTGCGGAGGTTATCTGCTCCCCAACCCCTCTATTTCTCCGGCTCAAGGTTTGGTTACTTAGTTACTAAGCAAGCTGAAGGGAAGGAGAGGCGGTGGCAGTGTGGCAGCGCAGACTTCACTCGGCAGGTGGAAGGGAAAGTCAAAAGGAGAGCCATGAGGAGTCAAATAGGGACCCGGAGCCTGAGGGGGGCTGCTGAGGAAAGGTGGCAGCAAAGTCAAATAACTCTCTCGAGGGTTTCAGGTGTGTGTAGTGGGGGGCAGGGAGCAGGGAAGAGGAGGCCTATATTACCTGGAAAAAATCAGCAATTGTTTTAATTACACATTTTCTGCTGTCAAGATCAACGTTGTTCAGACTCCATTCATCCAGCCCTGCAGGTGTGTGTGGAGAAGGGGGGGTCAGACCTTTTTCCACGTTGGTCCCACCCTCCCTGACTTATGGGGAGAAGGAAAAAGAAGACATCACAAGGAAGCGGCTTTGAAGGAGATTTCACTATATCAGATAATCCAAGATAAAGAGCATTGTTGGGGGAAGGCATTGAGAAGATGTGACCACCAGGTGACCTGAGAGTTGGACCCCAACAGTCAAAGGCTCCTACCTACCCATGTCCTTAGAATGTCTGTTCCACCTACTGTTCCCATACTAGGAGCCACTTCAAGGACTCAGCCTTGAGAGAGCAATATATGCTGAGACCATCTGGATGGCATGCATAACTGAACCCCACTACAGGTTCTACATAAACTTTTAAGATGCTGACCGGAAGGTATGGAGATCAACTCAGATTACGGCCACCCAAGACAAGCCTATGTAGGTTCCCTTGCTTATGAGAACTGCCACCTACCAATCTGGAAGAGTCTGCTCTTTCTTCCATCTCTCCTTGCCCTTCAAGCACAGTGGGGGGGGGGGGGAGGTTTCAAATTTCACCTGGGGATTCCTGAGGTCGAAGACCAACAGGCATGCAGAGGTGCCAACTAATTACTCAGGCTGCCTTGAAAGGAGATGGTTTACTCAGCTGATCCCTAAAACTAAATTTGAAAACAAAAAAAAAACATGCATCGCCCCACCACAGTCCCCACAGAGGGGAGGGGGGCCATGGAGAGCCTGTAGTTTATTTCTTATATAGATGAGAAAACCATGGTTACTTTTTCAAAAGGATACACTGTTGGCATCAACAGTGAAAGACCTTCGAAAAGATAACATGGTCCCAGGAACAGGAATTTGAGGGTGGAGTGGGCACTATCTGGATCTTCCTTTTCCTTTTCTTTTTCTGGAAACCAGTTGAGTTATTGGTTTTGTAAACAAGAGGTGGCAACAGGTGCTGCTGTCGCAGCTGTGTCCCCTGAGCATGCAGAGTTCTCCTAAGCTCAATTCCACTCTGTCCTCTCACTTCCAGCCAATGGTGAGCAGGGCCCCCCCCTTCTGGCGAGCTGCCCACCACAGCCCCTGCACCCTGTGCCTAAAGAGAGGCTGCTCCCAGATGGGCTGGGACAATCACTAGCTCACCTTCATTCTAGCCCGGAGATCCAGGATGACAAGTTCAAGCGCCATCATGACCAACATCTCAGAGACGAAGCCAATGAAAACCCTACTTCCACCCTCGCAGTGAGGACCCCAGCACACACTCTGGCCCCGCTGATGGCTCCCTTATCCCGTGGTTCCCTCCCTCAGTCACTCGCCCATCTCCTTGGCTCACCCTACCTGCTAAACAGCCTGGGATTTTAACTTTTCACTGGCAAACTGGAAGTCAGATAATAGGATGGGCAAAGGAAGCTCAAACCACGGAGAAAACTGTAGCTGGCATTTGCTTTTTGTTGCCCATCCTCTGCATGTCCTGGAGTGGTGTGTGTGTGTGAGTGTGTGTGTGCGCGCGTGTGCGTGCACCCTTGGAGGAAGGTAAGAAAGGAGAGGCCGCGGGATTGATTATGACTTATTAAACTATTGGAACAGGCTGAATCATCACAGTCAAAAAATAAACAGCTGCAACTTGATTCGACATAACTCCCACTTCTTGCTTGTTTCCCTTTGCTCCCTCACAGCAGGAAGGAGGAGGTGCTGTGCGCTCTGGGACCAGCAGGTGCCCACTGACTGGGAAAGGAAGGGATCTGGCTGTGTGGCCACGGCGCCTCCATGCCGTGGAAAGCTGGGACAGTCGGGATGAGCTTGAGTCTCTGCCTGCTCCCTGAACTGAACTTTGGAAGCCAAGTGCAGGCTCACGCGCTGCGGAGACGCATTGGTCACGGCACCGAGAAGGGCTTCCCGTCTGGACCCATTTTTCTCCCTGACCTTGCGCCCCGTGTCCCGTACCCAGGTATGACCCACAGTAGACATTTGTTTGCAAACTTATCAGACTGAGATGGCAGAGGTCCCTAAGTGACTCTGGGTTACCGGGGCAGCCATGCCAGCTGCCTGGAACATGCTCGGTGAGACAGAACGGATTCTGTAAAATGTCAGGGTAAGCAGCGCTTGTCCCTGCCACAAGCCTTGGGGAAATAGACGAAGTTGCTTGACCCTTCACACCCCCGCACTCAGGTTCCTCTGCCCCATGCCTGTGATCTGTGCCAGCAGCTCAGCAGGATCCTCCACTCGGCTCGCCCCTGTCCTCCCACAGGTCCTGGCGGGCGGAGCGAAGCTGTAGTGACGTAACGGGAGGGGGGCGTGGGGAAATGTGCGGAGGGGCCCGGGCTCCACAGGGTCAGTCCCGGCGACGCAGCCACCCGCGCCCAGAGTCTCCGTCGGCAGATGAGCTCACGGGGTGTGTTGGGCCCGCGAGCTCTCCGAGGCGCGAGGCGGAGCCGGAGCCCGCAGGTCGGGACGCCCATAGCAGGGTGCCTGCCAAGCTGCTGCGCGCTCGGGCACCCGGCTGGGCTGTGGGCAGCCGCTGGATGCCAGCGAGCTAAGCTAGCGGATTGCGGCAGAAAAGCAAAGGTGAGGTGTATTAGTGTGTGTGTGTGTGTGTGTGCGCGCGCGCGCGCGCAAGAGAGAGAGAGAGAGAGAGAGAGAGAGAGAGAGAGGGAAGGAAGGAGGGAAGGAGATGCACTTGGGCACCTGAGTGCACTGCGCTGCACAGTGGTGCGCGCCTCGGTGTGCCAGAGTGTAGGTCCTGATGCATGGTTCCCCTCCCTTGAGCCATTTAGAGGTGATTTTGGTAGGAATTAACGACACGACTGCGAGTGTCCGGGCGTGAGCGGGGTGCTGTGGATTGCGAGTGCTGAAAACGACGTGTCTGTACAGCCGCATGCCAGTGAACGTGGCGTGCGCTCTTGTCCAGTCCTCGTCCCCCAGCTGAGTGTCCAGGTGGCAGCTGCGACGGGGACAACTTCTCTCCCAGCCGCCTTTAAACGAGTCTGACGAGAAGAGAGCAAGAAGGGCGAGGTTGGTGGGGGTACACTGCTCGGGCTCTGCAGGCGCGCACACCAAGATCCGAGCCTGTGAGGGGCAGGGGGCGGAACAGAGAAAAGAGGGGCTTCTCTCTGCTCCTCCTCCCCCAGCCTCGGCAGACGCATCCCTAATGATCTACGGTCCGGTTCTCTGATGCGCGGGGGCGGAGGGGACAGTTTGTCTGTCAAGTCCCAAGCAGCTGTCGCCAGCTCTCGGCCATCCCTGACGCCTCGACCCCTCTTTGTGGGTAGAGACGGGGGATGCTGGCATGACAATCTTCGATCTTCCCCTTGTCCTCCTGGAAATGGCAGGGAATCCTTTGGGAAACCCTTGTCTCTGACGGTCAGTGGGTGGGATGACCGGTGGATGATTTTCTGTGCCAGAGCGGGGACCCAACTGGGCGGTCGGCAGACTCACCTCCCCACCCCCATCCTTCAGCCAGCGAGCGCCACCTGGGCTTTTCCTAGGCGCTCTAGCACCGTGGCAGAACGCGCTTGGCTGTAGTCTCTCCGCGCCAGTAAGGCTCAGGCTCCGGCCAGCCTGAGATCTACCAGGGTTTAGCAGCCCCCAAGGGAAGTAGGGTGGGGACTGAATGAAGAAAAGATTCTGGGGAGAAAGGGAAAACTGAAGCACAGTAGAATTTAAGATGAACGCTCCTCCCACCCCCATGCCTGGTCTCTCCCTCAAAGGTCAGTTCTTAGGCTGGAAACCACAGCCTCTCTGCAAAAGGGGGGATACGCCTGAGACCATTTTAACCGTCCTCTCCAACAGAGCCAGGACTCAGGGTCTGAGGACACCAACAACCAGCCATGTCCAGTATCTAACAATTCTGAGGCTGGAAAAATTAGTTAAAGCACAAACTCAAACTTCCTGTGCATATTTAACCACAATTCAACAAGTGTTGACTGCCCAGCATTGGACTCTACTTTCCATGAAGCAGGTGGTCTCACTCAGAGACCTTAGGCAGAAACTTCATTGTTGATGAAATAAGATTCACTGTGATTTAATCTCATGTCTTCCTTTAAGGAGCCCTCCCCCTCTGAACTGGCTCCACGGCTTACTATCTCTGCCGCCTCCTCCAAGCTCTGAGACCTGTCGATGGCTCCTCTCTCAAAAGTGGAGACATGCTACTTCTAGGCCTATTTCAGGGAAAAAATTTACCCCATATTGAGTGAAACTCCAGCCAAAAAGGCAGAGTTAGGGCTGGAGATCAGCACTCAACCCTTGCTCACAGGTCTGCACCATCAGCATCCCAACCTCCAAAAGCGCTAGACTGAGCCTCCGCCCCCCAGAACTCTTTAGTCTCACCCAGACCTCAGAGTGTGACCTTGTACGTTACACAGATGGGATCCTGGAAATGCTAGTAATTAATTACACTCCAATGCAGACGGCTTAAATAGGATTCTGGGTCTGTAGAATTAGAGTAACTGACAAAACGGTTGGAAATGACAGTGAAAAAAACCCACGTTAATCTACGGATATAAAAAATGGCTTCTTTACACCTTCTGCTTTTAATAGTTGCCAATTTATGTGTTTTACCCAATGCAGACATTAAATCCCAGGTCCCCCAAAGTACGTTTCAGAAAGGTCAGCCACAAAACCCAGAACGCACTTTACAGACAGTTGTGTGGTGAGGAAATTAGCACAGAACAGAGAAGCAATGAGTCTGGAGTGCAAAATGAATCAGAGGCAAAGGTGGGCAAGACTCCTTAAGTACTTGTTGCTGGCTAAGTCCCCTTTACTTCATCAGCAGTCTCTCCAAGCTTCAAGGAGCAATCTTCAATCTTCACTCAGGCACCAGGCAAAGTGCACTGCTCAGGGGAAATGTGTTCACCAAATGAATTAGTCCCACTTTGTACTAAACACCACCAACCTTTTACTGCCTTCCCTCTTCTTGGAATGACCACCTTCCCTGCCCTCCTCGCATCGTTCTCCATATATTCAAGATCCAGCTTAAACCTCTAATGAAGCCTCCTCAGAATCTCCCAGGAGAGAAGGGCATTCTTCAGTTCTTTCTCCATATCTCAATGCAAGTCACACCTTGTAAGAGTTGGCTTCCTTGCCTGTCTCCCCTCCTAAATTATCACCTCCTAGAGGGCACCGGCCATGTCTTGTTCATTCCTGGTGTCCAGAATAAGGAAGCCCCCAGTGATGGTTTTTGAATGACTATAGATAACTCATTCAATTACATGATGAGCTATTGTTTTATACCTTAGGCCAAGCCAATGGTTACAATTATCTTCTCAACTTGGAGGTATGACAGGAGTCAGCTGCTTCAGATCAAAGTCCCATTGTCAGCTGCTAGTCTTCCAGTCCACTGAGCAGCAGGTGTTCAGATCCCAGCTCCACCAATTATGGAAGCAAATTAGTTAAACACTCAAAGCCTCGGCTTCCTCATCTGTAAAATGGAGACAATTATCCCCACCTCCTAGGGTGATTGGGAAGATCAAGGGGTCATAAAAGAAGGTTCCAAACACTGGAGTGAATGAACTGTCAATGAACCTGGCTCCTGTTTTTGTCCTTGATCAGGGAATTACAGGCAGATCTTCTGTGGTGTCAGAAAACAAGAATTCTGGAGTATTCTGCTGAGGGACTTTAGGAAAGAGCTCTCCCAGGCATAAGGAGCTCAAGCACAGGGTACTGAAGAAACAAAAATAAAATAAAACACTTTAAAAATGAAAGCATGACAAATTTTGATATTTAAAACTATAAATTGGTTCATTATAGGCAGATTTCAATCAATTAGAGATAAAGGAGATGGTAGAGGAAAAATGGGGGAGAGATAATATTTATAGAGCTCTGGTTATGAGCCCAGCACAATACTGGGCATTTTCACATACATTTCATCATTTAACCTTCAGGACACCCCCATTTTGACAAATGAGAATCAGAGAAGTTAAGTGCAGGGCACAGGGTCATAAAGGCTCCACGGTGGAACCCTGGTTTGTTTTACTTCTAAAGTCCGGGAGTTTTCCACTACTGAGTTTTCGGAATGGAAAACCTCCAAAGAAGTTGGCAGGTTGGTGCAAATTTCCTAGCGGGGAAAGGCCGAGAACACCAGTGTCAGGACCCCCTGAGGTCAGAGACCGGACTGCCCCACCCCGCTCTGCCTCTTCACAGTTTGGACCAGCCAACTTCTTAGGGATCAAAGTACTTTTTTTTTTTTTTTTTGCAGCCACAGTCATGTCCCACATGTGTGTCACCAAAGATGACAAGATAAACTATGATGGCTTAACCCAAACTCTTCCCCACTATTGGAAAAACAACTCATTCTGCACACTGGTGAGAATGGGCTGGTAGCTCTACATGGATGTGGAAAGATAACACATTTTCTTAGGTGAAGAGTGTGTCTGAGAGGGTAAACCAGAAACATGCAAAGCTGGTGAGAGCTTAAGTAGGTTCTGACTAATGAGCCAATCTTCCCTTTTTTCCCTGCAGATGTCACATTGGATCCTTTTTCTCCGGGACCCACTAAGGTGAGAATAAGATCTTTGGCTGGTTGGAGCTAGCCTAAGCTGTAAGGCAGCCATGGATATGGCGTATGACCTACTCAATTGCACCCAACCACTGCTATCCTCTCCATTTGACCTCAATGGCTCAGTGGTGGCAGCCAACGGCTCAAACCAGACAGAGCCATACTATGATCTGACCAGCAATGCAGTCCTCACATTCATATATTTTGTGGTCTGCATCATTGGGTTGTGTGGCAACACGCTTGTCATTTATGTCATCCTCCGCTATGCCAAGATGAAGACCATCACCAACATTTACATCCTCAACCTGGCAATCGCAGATGAGCTCTTCATGCTAGGTCTGCCCTTCTTAGCCATGCAGGTGGCTCTGGTCCACTGGCCCTTTGGCAAGGCCATCTGCCGGGTGGTCATGACTGTGGATGGCATCAATCAGTTCACCAGCATTTTCTGCTTGACTGTCATGAGCGTTGACCGATACCTGGCTGTGGTCCACCCCATCAAGTCAGCCAAGTGGAGGAGACCCCGGACAGCCAAGATGATCAACGTGGCTGTGTGGGGAGTCTCTCTGCTGGTCATCTTGCCTATCATGATATATGCGGGGCTCCGGAGCAACCAGTGGGGGAGGAGCAGCTGCACCATCAACTGGCCAGGTGAATCCGGGGCATGGTACACAGGTTTCATTATCTACGCCTTCATCTTGGGGTTCCTGGTGCCCCTCACCATCATTTGTCTTTGCTACCTGTTCATTATCATCAAGGTGAAGTCCTCTGGAATCCGAGTGGGTTCCTCTAAGAGGAAAAAGTCTGAGAAGAAGGTCACCCGGATGGTGTCCATAGTGGTGGCTGTCTTCATTTTCTGCTGGCTCCCTTTCTACATATTCAATGTCTCCTCCGTCTCTGTGGCCATCAGTCCCACTCCAGCCCTTAAAGGCATGTTTGACTTTGTTGTGGTCCTCACCTATGCTAATAGCTGTGCCAACCCCATCCTGTATGCCTTCCTATCTGACAACTTCAAGAAGAGCTTCCAGAATGTCCTCTGCTTGGTCAAGGTCAGCGGCACCGATGACGGGGAGCGGAGCGACAGTAAGCAAGACAAATCCCGACTGAATGAGACCACAGAGACCCAGAGAACCCTTCTCAATGGAGACCTCCAGACCAGTATCTGAACTGCCTGAAAAATAAATATAAGGCCAAGCTCTGCCAACTGACAATGTGTTCCCTGCCCCCACCCACTCCCTGCCCCCCCACCCATCCACCTGGCTTCTAGAATAGGGAATTGCTCAGCATGAGTCCAATTCAGGGAAGAGTGTTTGAGTCGGCTTGTCTGAGTGAATGGTTTGTATTAAATTAATTAACTCCCCCTTAAAGTGAACATTTAAATGCAGGCAGACAATTCAAAGTCTGGAAAAGAGGCAGTCATGCCTTTGAAATGTTGAAACTCAACAAAGATAGAAAACTGTATCTGTGTTTGTGTGTTTAAAACCCAATATGTAATCTCGTGTTCTTATATTTATACTTGTATACTCCTATCTAGTCCCTGTACAGTCATGATCTACATTTCCTGTGTTCAAATACACAAGTAGCAAATTCAAGTGTGTATTGTGCAGGTGGACCTTTGTTACAATATGGTACCCGTGGAAATGGACTATCCATGAAGCCAATAAAGTTTAAGCTTCAGGGATCTCATGGGCTTGGGCGGTATGTTCACATGGCCCTATGTTTTAATAAGAAGTTATAAAAGGGAGGTGTTTTTGTATTATTTTTCTTAAAGAGGGCTTCTTAAGTTGTATAAGCCTCCAGCCTCACCAACCCTGCCTCTGCCCCTGGGCATTTGCTTCATTCATTTTAGACAAGTTAGATCCAGGTAAGAAGGGGAAGAGAGGAAGCATTTGAGGACCCAGAGCATTGTCAAATTTCTTTAATTTTTCTTAGGGAGCCAAGGAAAAGAGGGATCACTAACATGGAAGGCAAGAAATTGACTACAATTCTTATGGCGAAACAATTTTCTCTACTGTGAAAATAAATGAGTAATAATGAAGCAAAATTACATCTTTATGAAAAACTATGAAATTGTAGGCGGGGGGGGGGGAGGAGGTTTATGTCAGACGTGGCTTCCTAATAAAAGAAAATGGAAATGCAATTCAACAACTCCTCACAGGAGTTTGTTTTAAGGACTTGATACAAAGCTGGGAGCTAAGGAAATCACAGTGCATATTAAGGACCCGAGGACGTTGTCTCCAGCCAGTCACTGTGCAGCCTTACAGGGTAGGCGGGTGTGAGGGCTAGAGGTAGCTGCATCCCCACAGGGACAGCCACATCACCTTCCTCACCCACTGCGCACGCGTCGAGCTTTGGACCTTCAGTGTCACAGGCTCAGCCATTCCTCAAGAGCTGTCACAGACAGGCACGTCCCATCAGCAGTGGGTTTTTTTTTTAGTCCCTGAAATTGTAGATGGGCTCATGTACAAGTGATGAGAAATGAAGGACTGATCACCACTGCCAGGGCATGAAGAAATATACACTCGGATGTCTGTCAGGATGCCATCAACCCTGGGTTTACATGAAAACCTCCCTCTTAGTGTCTCACATAGAGATTGCACCCTATTTACAGATTTTATTTGTTTTTAGAGAGAGGGGACGAGAGGGAGAAAGAGAGGGAGGGAAACATTGATCAGTTGCCTCTCATACACACCCCAACCAGGGACCAAACCCACAACCCAGTTGTGTCCTGACCAGGAACTGAACCTGTGACCTTTCTTTTTGGGGGATGACACCCAACCAACTGAGCCACACCAGTCAGGGCAATTGTATCTTATTTAAAAATGACCTTTCCTCTTCTATACAAGGGCTGTTGGATGGTGAGGATGGTGAAGAACTGCATCTGCGCTTTCATTGTTAATGGGCAGCCTTTATTCCAGCCGTCTAGTATTCATGCCACCTCCTTCCCAAAAGTACTGACTATGGCCTAGGAAAATATGCTCGGTAAGGTTTATGGTAGATCAATCCACATAAAAATAAAAAGAGGTACAATTATAAGATGAGGCTATTGGGAAAGTTGTTACACAAAAATCCACGCAGTAAAATCCCAGGCCATTACTCAAGGAAAGGCCAGCTTCCAGTTCAGCTCAGGCTTTCCTAGCAGCCTCGGCTGATGGGCAGTGACTCCTCCTCCTCCTCCTTTTTCTTCTTTATAAAACCAAGCAACGAAAGGAAATGCGGTGTTCTCTCATCACCCTGTGTCCTTTTCCTTGTGTTTTCTTAGATTGTCCCATGCTATGGAATGAACCCCACCCAAGTTTCAACTCTATGTCCAGTATTAATGAACTCTCTGTTACAGAAACACAAGTTAATATCCAACACAGGCCACAGTGTTGTATGACCTCTCCCGATGCCGCTCTCACTCCATCCACTTAGGTTTCATCAGCACTTAACTACCCATGTTAATGGAAGGTAAGGAGTAGCTTGCATAAGTGATCAGCATCCTAAAGCCAATGGAGTGCCTGACTTTTTATTCTGTCCCCGCACCCAGCAGAGTTATCTTCACGATTAATATTGCGTGGAGGAAGCTAAGATTAAATGCTGGAATTTAAACTGTGTTAACATTTCATTTAAAATATTTATTCCCACTTTTGGAACAAAGAAAACAACCAGAGAGCAAGTCGTCCTTGAAAGAGGAATCTCAAAAAGTGGGGAATACTTCTTAATATAGTAGAAACCCTATGGGTGGAATTATAAGCCTCACTCTTAAAGGCCCCATCTTTTAGCCTTAGAAATTATCCAGGTGATGAGTGCTCACCATAGGCTGCGGATGCATTTCGCTTTGCAACTTTGGCTGGCTGCTTTGGACCCTGACTTCCTTGGAGGCAGTTTCTCTGATCACAGATCTATGAGTATTATAGAATTAACCTATCTGCCTTGAAATTATTTCTACCCATCATTCTTGGTCCCTTGGAATCACATCCCTAACTAAAAATCAGCATTTATTCCAGGACCCTGGAATACCTTATACAATAATAATGGTAAAACTGGATTTAAAGCATTTCATTCTAAACCTTTGCTTATTTTTATGAAGGAGGAGGAGGAGTAGGGGAGGGGGATGTGAAAGGGATTTGTGTGTGTGTGTGTATGTGTAGCAATTTCTACAGTCTCACCTCATAATTGCACCTCTTTTCATTCTTGCGTGGATTTATTTATGTATCATAAATGTGGACTGGTGGATGGGAGTTCTTGAGCTGGCCACCAACTGGACTCTCTTTGCTTACACAAATTAACCTCTTCTCCATGACTGAATATAAGTGTTGACAGCTGAAACTTCTAGCCCCAGCTGTCCTAGATAGGAGCACTGTGCTGGAGAAGTGTCCAGTCTGGTCACTGAGAGAGAGGAAGTAAATGGCTGTCGAGATCCATGTTCCTAGTCAGCTCCAAATGTGATTGTTCAATCAAGACAGTCAAGTTACAATGGAGGGCAGAAATGAGCCCTGGCCTTGTGAAGAAAGATGGCAAGAAAACCGATCAAAGTTTCCTGTATGACTGGAAAGGTCCAAATAGGATTTCTGAAACACGTATCATCATAAGAATCACAATTACTGGCAAGCCAAGCATTTGAGCTTATCAGTGATGACTTGTCATCGATCACTTGTCTAATCCACATTTTTGCCAGATTCAAAAACACTGAATTTCCTATCAAATGCTCTATCAGAGGAAACCTTTCCCTAAGTGATTGTTTGGCTTCTAATAAGTAAATTTCTGAAAACATTCTCACAGGCAGAATCTCTATTTTTCTCTGAGCAGCTGATCTGAAAAGTAGGCGCGAGGGACTGCACTCTACGTACAGCTGAAAGCTTTTAGAGCCCTGTCACCTGAGTTGGCAGACCGTTGGGGCTGAGAATAACAGCTCGAGGACACGCTTTCATGCCTCTCACCCCCACTGCCCTTTTCAAGGGCTGCCCACCCCTTCCTTTAACTCAGCAGTGACCAGATGCAGGTGGATCAGATAGTTTTCTTTAGACATATCAGGTTGTATGTATTTGGACTGTGCTTAAAACCAGAGCTAAATATTAACCAAGACCTACCTGAGTTGAACATAAAACATTACTGATTCTCCCAAGATTAAAAGTGAGGATAATATGACTAAATGAAATGCTGTGGCTTTATCACTGGGCTCAGTGACCGTCTGTCCCCCCTTGGACTAAGACTTTAAACGTGACACTGGGTTTCCGGTGGGTGGGGAGGGAGTTTCTACGGAGAAGGAGAGAGCTTGCTTTTTTTTCATCTCTCTCTTCTTTCCTGGCATTATTAAAGGGCCAGATCAGAGTGAAGAGACCTTTATGCCAAAATCTGGAGTCTGGTGGAAGGGGTGGCTCACTTCCAATCCTGATCCTGGTAACAGGACTGGCAGCAGAAAAGGAAGGTACTTCTTAGAGGTACAGTTGCCCTACCCTTCGAGGAAAGCCTGTCGAGGAGCCTGATGCAAGGCCCTCTTCCAAAGAAACCTGAAATAGCTTCGCATGGTCTGGCCAGCCCAGTGATTCAGTGCCTGGGCCTCCCACTGCTTAAGCAATAGAGATCTCTGGGTGATAGTCACTGAGGGGAGAGAGGCCATGCTACGGACTACCGAGGAAGATTGGTCTGGCCCTGAACCAGAAGGAGACACTGCTGTCCCAAGTCCATACAAAGATCAGATTACAAAGTGGCCAGTTTGGGAGGCCTGAAGGGAAACTGCTCATCTCCACAGGGGAAGACCCAGGATCAGTTCCATGGGACCGCCTGTAAAGTCACCAGGTACCGACAACGAGCATCATGACACTCCTGGGCAATGACCCTCTTACCTGGCAGATGGTACCAGCTCCTGTTGAGGGTTCCCGTCCCCGGGTGAGGGCATATCATCATTACTGAATGTGCTGGTATTTCTTCTCATGGGTATTATTTTTTAACAAGAAACCCAAATGGTTCTCATATAACATAACCCAGGCTTAGTTTTCTTAATGTGAACCAGCATCCCATGTCTCCGGAGAAATGACCAGTCTTCTCAGTCTCTCCAGCTCTCCTCAACTTTCCCTGCAGTTGGTGCTCTCAAACACACATGTGGCATGAGGCACACGAGTGAGGCAACAGAGCCCAGGCGTGGCATGCACGTGGATATGATTGCATGCACACACATGTGTGACACACATGTGACACACACAATATAGCTTCTATGCTGTTTAGGCAAGACCTCAAGGCACAGATTCTCCAAGGATGGGGAGAACTGTATCTGGCTAACCCACTTAAAGTCTAGGGACACTTCAGTCACTTTTTTCTAGGTAGAGGCGAGGACATTGTGCAGGAGCTAATTTCTCACCCAGCAGCTCCAGGCCAGATCACAGACTCCGCACCTAGCCC